TTTCAGTATTATACAATTTCAATTACCACAGACTTGTAAGTGTTGAAATCTAGTAAAGCACTCCTTTCACCCCTTCTTCATGTAACATGTCTTCACTATTTTAGACTCCTCATGAATTTTGGAATCAATTTCCATTGGAAGTCCTTTTGGATTTTGAGTGACATTCTATGGAATCTATATACTGAATTTATAGATCAACTTGGAAAGAATATTAAATCTTCCTATACAAAAGCATGGCTTCTCTTTCCATTTGGAATAAAAGCCAAATTCCTTGCTTTCAAAGATGAATGAATAACCTCCAAATGTTCCCTGGTCCTACTTTATAAACTTATAAAGGACTAAGATTTTTTGACATATCCCATTTCTTTAATGGTTATAGATTTAATTAGGATTTAGTTTTCCCCTGTAGTAACATTGGTAACTTTTACCTTAAAAAATCATCATTCACATTATCAAATTTACTACCCCAAATTATTCATAATATTTTTCCATTTTCTCCTAATATTATTTGTTACTCCTTCCCTGCTTCTATCAACATTGACAAATGCTTATCTTACTAGTCTTTATTTAAAAAAAAAAAAACAGCTTTGGAGCTAATCGATATTATTTATTTATTTTTAAAGATTTATTTATGCATACAGAGCTGGGGTACAGGCCAGAGGTTCAGGGGGTGAGGGGATTCACCAGAGACAGAGTGGGGAACAGAACAGGCAGACTGAGGAAGTACTCAGCTGAGAGGAGCAGCGGGCGGGTCAGGAGAAGTCCGCTGTGCCATGGGGGTCACCTCCCTGGCTGGGGAGTGAACTTGTGTTGAAGTGGCTTCGGCTAGCTTCATAGTGCTATGCTTCAACCTGTTGCACCACCAGGGAGGGCCCTTTTATTTATGTTACATTAATTTGGTACTCCTATTTTTTTTTTTAAGAGCATGCCAGCTTTATTTTTTTTCCTTAAGATTTATTTATTTATGCAAACAGAACTGGGGTACAGCCAGAGGCCCAGGGGCAGAGAGAGGATCACCAGAAACAGCAGGAAGCAGAACAGGCAGATCGACAAAGTACACTGCTGAGGGGAGCAGCAGGCTAGCAGGTGAGGTCTGCTGCGCCATGCGGATCACCTCCTGGGCGGGCGATCTAACTTGCACTGAAGCTACCACAGCTTGGCTTAGCTTCTAGTGCAGTGCTCCAACCCGCTGTGCCACCAGGGAGGGCCTCCTGGTACTCCTATTTTTATTATTTTCTTTCTTGTATTTTCTTGGGTACATTCAGTTGTCTTTTTCTCAATCTTAAGATCACTAGTTTTTAAATCTTTCTTCTTTTCTAATGTTTACATTTCGGCATATAAATTTCTCTTTAAGTCCCACTTTAGATTTATTCCATAAATTCATCTTTGGAATGCTTTTGTTAGGCATTCCATTCTAAATATTTCATAATTTCCATTATAATTCCTTGTTAGGTCTATGACATAACATATATATCCATGATTTTAAACTATATGACATCCTTATCCTTCTTCTGAACAAATAATCTTAGTATGCTTTAACTCCAGTTCCCTCCCAGTCTTCTGTCATGTTATTATTTACCAGTATTTAATTATGTCTTTTAAAAAATTGTATCTTTTTAAAAACTTTTCCCCAAATTAGTCTTTATTATTACTATTTGTTCCATATGCTATGTTCCATTTATTCTGGTCTTATTTTTCATTCCAGTGCCACTAAATAGCAACATTTAGTTACTGATCACCACTTTGAAATTAACATGTTTATTAATGAGTCTTCAAACAGTTGATATGGAAGAAATGTACATAGTATAAGTTTTTCTAGTACATTAGTATTTCTTACCTAGGTCAAAATAAATCTAGGAATTTAGGGGTTTTTAAAAGTCAAATATTTTAAGACATTCACTAGAGTATATATATATATAGTCTCTCAATATACAAAATCAAATCTGCAAAAGGGAACTTTTATAATTCTTTCCTTCTTTGATTTAAAGATTCAAATAATATTTAGCAGCAAATACATTTGGCAAATGACTAATGGAAAAGTTCTCTTCTTTCATAAATCCAGGAAAAGGAATTAGTGGACATGCTAGCTATATGAACAAACTATTGCTTCCAACAGAATGAGTTTGACATGTTTTAACACTGATTTCTAACAAGTGAAATCAAAGTAAGTTGATCTCGATTTAAAATGTAAATCAGAAACAGAGCTTAAAGCTGTACCAGTTGCTTCATAAAATATGCCCCATACACATCTGCACCCATTTACAGGAGTGGGGAGACAGCAAGAACATTAAAAACCACTAATCCACCCATGGTGATTACAACTGAGATGAAAAAAGGCACAAAATGATGTAAAAATAAACTATTATATTATAAAAAAACCACTAATCCAGCTCATTCATTTTTTTAATTGTGATAAAATATGCACAAAATTACTCATGCGTTTTTACAGAGCAGTTAGGTGACCTGCCTAAGATCACCCAGTAAACTCAATGAAGCCTTAAATCAGTTAGGGCTCTAGACTATGAAGACTAGTCATGGGAGCAGGATGGGATTAGGTGGGAAGGGGTGTGATTCTCTTCTTGCAGACTCATGGAACTCCCCAGCAGAACATTACTTGGGATATTCTGGTTAGCCAGAAGAGTTTGTGAGTACAACCAAGAAAAGAAAAAGAGGGCAAACATTGAGGGCTTCTCACCAGCTACCCCCAAAATCAATACAACTAAAAGCTCAGACAACTTTTTTTTAATCATTAAAATGTTAGAGAGGAAAGTCCACTGTTGCAGATTTGCTTTAATGAGATGACAGTTCATTTGCTTTTGAGGGGAGGCAGACCTGGATCCACAGCTGGTCCGGGGATGGCTCAGAGCTAGTGGGAAGTATTCTATCAAGAAGGAACTTTGCGGTTCTTAATTGTGGTCAAAGACGAGAAAGCAACTCGTAGCTGTATGAGGGCTCTCAGGAAAGGGGTATCATGGGCCGGGGAAGTGAGGCAATCAAGCGTGGCCTGGGTAATTTGGCCGATGTCAAAGCCTTAACACCACCACCAACACTCCTATTTACCAAGTGCCTACAAGTTGCCAGGCAACATACCAGGCGCTAATTCTCTCTTCATAATACTTTAGCATAGGCAGGGATTATTTCCCCCATTTCATAGTCGAGGGTATGGACTCAGAGACTGAGCGAAGGTTACCTATGTATATTCAAGGCAGAGTCAGGGATTCAAGCCTGGGTGTGACACAAAAACCAAGTCTCCTCAGTTATTTTTATAGCCTCTTCCATCACAGTAATTAAGAGAAAGGTTTTTCAACTTGGATCTTAAAACTCTTTGTTGATGTAATTATAATATATTCCAAAAGGAAGACAAAAAAAAAAAAACCTATGTGCTAGCCTATTCCTTCTTCAGTTCTTAACTTGAAACCATCCCTTCTAGGGCTCTTCTAGTCCTCAAATAAGGACCAACCACAGTCTTTAATGTGCAATTTCAAAAGTAAATAAACTTTGAACATTTAAAGTGTTTTTCTAAGTTTGCAGCAAGCTGGTAGATGGTAAAAGATGACCTGAACTGAGAGGAAACTTCTCAGTCTTTATGCTTCCTACTCGGGGTCACATTTTGATGTGGAAATAATGAGTTTAAGGGATGCCGCCCAGACGCTACAATTATTACTGAATATATGTGTGTATACTTGTCTTCTAAAATCCAAACATTTCTAATTTATCAACCACATGTGACCTCAAGGGTTTCAAGTGACTCTGCACCTCCCCCAGGCACAAATCTCACTGCATTCTTAAGTACTAATCCTTTGTAAGCCCAACATCTGACAGTATCAGATACACAATAGGTACACAAGGAATAGTTCCTGAAGAGGGAAACAAGACTGAGAAATTGGTTAAAAAGGGAAAATGGGCCCTCCCTGGTGGCGCAGAGGGTTAAAGCACAGCACTGAGAAGCTGAAACCACTTCCGCATGAGTTCGATCTCCGCCTGCCCTGGAGGAGATCCACAAGGCCATGCAGACCTCTCCTGACCCACCCGCTGCTCCCCTCAGCAGTGTACTTCGTTGATCTGCCTGTTCTGCTCCCCACTCTGTCACTGGTGAAGCCTCTCACCCCCCGCATCTCTGGCCTGTACCCCAGTTCTGTATGCACAAATAAATAAATATTTAAAAAAAAAAAAAAAGGAGGAAATGGTCAGTGGCTTCGAGTAATGGCTCCCAACTTGCAGACCAGGCCTCTACCCATGGAATGTCACTTCCTTCTCTGACAAGGAGGATCTATAAATAGTTGCTGCTGATTGAGAGCAAGCAACATAGTTGCTGTCTTTACTAGGAATAAAAATAGCCCAGTGGTCTTACATGATGGGCCCACATATAACTTTAATCCCCGTAGGAAACTGCAGGCAAAATTTCACAGGTACCCTTGAACTTGGGAGCAAAAGACCTGTTTTGTTGGGACTGTACTACCTTTTTGGCCTTAAGTTTCCTTATCTGTAAAACAGCAACCAAAGTAAGCCCTAACTCCCATCCCTACCCTCCATGGGTCTCTTAAAAAGGGGACTCATGGGAGCTGCAGCAGCTGACCCCACATTCAAGAATGGGCTGCAAACCTCAGGAGCTTGTTCACTGCTGGCTGCTGCCCTTGCAGTCCAGAGTTCACCTTCCGCATTCAGTGTGCTCTGTCCAACCTACACACAGCTTCTCTCCCATCCAAAAGAAACAGAGTCAATTCAAGAGGAGCATTTTGTACCCCGGGCACCGACGGGGGGGGGGGGAGGGAGGGGGGAGTTCTTCCTGTCGTGGATCCCAATGATGAAAGAATTCTACGGACAGTAGCTTCACAATCCATCAGCCCCACTGTCTTATAAGGCGGAAGGGGGAGAAATGGGAGTGAAGGGAAACACCGGCCAGCAAGGACTGAAAAACTCTGAACTGCAAATTTCGGGACACCAAAGTCTGGGTAAGAAGTGCGAGGAGAGGGCAGATTGGGTGCTCCCTCCCTCCTTACCTGGTAACACAGGATGGTTTGTTGCACAAGTCGCGCGTATCCATCCAAGCGGACCCCAGAATTGCTCCTGCTTCTCATCTTAGAAATGCTCCCGGGTCCGCAGCTCCCGACCGGGTGCAGGGAGGTGGCACGCCTGGGCTGCGGCCACAAGGGTGTCTGGCTTCCAGTCACAGCCTCGATGAGTTCTCGGGATGGGGCCCCGCAGTAGGAGAGCTGTACTTCTAAAACAACGATAGAACCAAAGTAGGGGTGGTAAGAAGCCAACCAGAGTTTTGCAAGTTTGGAGGGGGTGGGGTGGACACCACGGCTGGCGCCGCATCGGCCCCGCCTTGTCCAGATCAGCTCAGCCAGGGTCCATGGGCCCCCACCGGAGAAGCAGGGAACTGGGTTCCGGGTGTGGGATGACGTTGCCTGCCCCCACTGTGCCCTATTTTCTGCCTTCAGGAGGTGGTGGGGAGGCCCCCGGGGGGCCGCCAACCCTACGGTACGCTGCCCAGTTGGATCCGCGGGCCGCGGCCCACTCCCAGCCCCGCCCCCTGGCCCCGCCCCCACCGCGAGCGGAACCCTCGAGTCGCAGCCCGCGGGGGAACGCAAAAGGGGTGGTCCGCAGGGGCGGCGAGGGCCCAGGGCCCGCGGGGACGAGTTTGCCGCTCGGCCCCTCACCTTCCCGGGGCCGCAGGCCCGCGAGTCCTGAGCAGTCTGGAGAAAAGGCCCTTCCGCCGCGGCCACCTGGACGCCCGGGACCCGCCCTCAACCCCGCCCCTGGGGCCGCCTCCGGCTCCGCCCCCGGCGCGAGGCCGAGCCCGCGGAGCCCGGCGGGAGGAGCCAGGTAAGGGGACTGCGGCGCCCGGGGCCTGCAACGGCCCTGTCACACTCCCGCGCTGGCGGCCCCGCTCCGCCCTGGAGGGAGCTAACTGCCGCCTCTCCTGCCGCCCTAGCACCGCCCTCCTCCTCCGTGGGGAGGAGATAAAGGCGGAGGCTCGCGGTCTGGGCAGCCAACCTCACGCGAGGCGGGAGAAGTAGGCCCGCCCAGCCGCTCTCGCCGCCGGCGGAAGCCCAGCGGGGAGGCCCCTCCGCCTAGGGGATGGGGCAGCCTGGGGCGGGGATCACAGCAGCCCCGCACCTGAGGCCCCGCCTAGGCGAGTGGGTGCAGTTGCCCACTCGCAGGCCTCCAGTGTGGAACTTGGCATTACAGTGCCTTGTGGGGCTCATTGCCTACAGTTCACCGAGTTCAACCCTGGTCTCACTTCCACCAAAATCTGGTTCCAGATGAATTCCAGTGGACTGGCAGCTAATGTAATTGTTTCCACAAGCACTACACCCATCTCGTGCACTCACTGTATGCTTTCACCAGCAGGCCCTTCCCTTGACTTTTGCTCATGATCTGGCATTTCCATCAGGTATAGAAACATTATCAGTTTCTTGATCACATTCTTTGTAAATTCTACTCTACGCACATGTACCCCATTTGGTGTATAGCCAACCTACATCCTTAAGGCTTTTCACCTGTGTCTTAAAGCATATTATCATATAAGCTATATTTTTCAGTAAGCTTGAAATTCAGGGATGAAACCAAGAAGAAAGGCTCCTACTTCTTAGCTTTTAAATTTCCAAGTGAATTTTAATGATTCATTTTGGATTAGGAGCTGTGCTATTATTAAAAAATCAGAAACATCATAGTATCTTCATTTCTCTGAAATATATCATCTCTATTACCTTGGTTCCCATATCCACGAAGCCTTTCTCAAATTGTGACCCAATTTGTGACCTGTCTGTAAAGTCATTTCTCTAATACCACGAAACAGATACCAATGATATGTTATTGCTGAAGCTCATTCAGGATCTTCATAACAATCCCCAACTAAACCCTGGGGTAGGACCACATCACTTCTCTGACCTCAACTAAAGGATCTTTCCATTGTCTCACCACAGGAGCGTCTACTAAGGAAGGTGGAATGTAGAAACCATGAAATGTTTCTCCTGGGAATTCAGGTCTTTAAAGGAGAGCTCTCCACCTTTGACAGAAAGGTCAGTTCTGAATCGCATTGCTGAAACTAGCCAATTCACCAAGTTTAGTTACTTCTATGACTGCAGATTATTTTGTTATTCATTTCAAGAATGTTGAATGCATCCCTGCCCCAGGTATCGTAGCTAATTTGAGCTGAGAAGCAAAAAGAGGGAAATGAGCATACAATTTCATCATAGGGAAGAACATATTTATAAATATTATAAATCTGTTTCAATGAATATATTCTGGAAGGATATATTCAATTTTTGACTGCACCAACTTTTTGATGCTAAAGGTTACAGTGAAAAGAAAAGGTAATCTGCTAAGAATTCTCATTTAGGATTGCTCTTATATCTGCTCAGTTTTTCCTTTCCCTGCCTTTTTCCTTTCTCTGCCAGAGCAGAGAGTACCATGGCAGACACAAACCGAATAGTCACTAAAATGCTGTTACAAAGACAAAATGACAGCACACAGTCCATTTGATAAATTGCTTATTCATTAAACTAGCTTTTTGTACAAATGGCTTTTAACAAACCTGCCTGTATGACCTGGCTAGGTACAACCCGGGTTTCCAATTGATGCCCCTTTACTGCTTCTGCTGAGAACCATCATGGTCCTGCTCACTGACGTTGATAATTGCTTCAGTACATCTCCATGCACTCACTGTATGCCTTCACCAGCAGGCCCTTCCTTTCCTTACCTACCTGAAGCAATCTTTTCAGGACCCGCTCACATTGACCGCAGGGAAAATAGTTGATGACTTTTGCTCATGACGTGGCATTTCCCCTTTACTGCTTCTGCTGAGATCCATCATGGTGCCACTCACTGACGTTAATAATTACTTCAGTACATCTCTGTGCACTCACTGTATGCTTCCACCAGCATGCAGTTAATAATTACTTCAGTACATCCTTTTGTGTACACAAAATGTACCAGTTACATAATCTGTTTTAGGAGATCTGCTATCTGAGCTCTCACCCCCACCATCTAGAGTGTGTCCCCTCCATCCCTATCATTTTAATGCTCAGCATCTTTGAGGTAGTTGAGCACTGTGGAAAGAGAGATTGCTCAGAGACCCCTTGCAGAGTCGAGGCTAACGTTTCCTGTTTGTGGCTCCCACATGCTAATCAGCTCCCTAGAAAACCCAAATCCTGTCCTCATCTTGAAATCCGTCAGTGCTGAGGAAGCAGACACTTGGAGGGGATCCGAATCCAGAGTTGACACAGCAATATGTGTTGAAAAGATGACCTTGAGAGAGTAGTGGGAGATGAAGGGACCTCGGGAACCACTGTCACGAGGCAGAACAGCCCTGATGACTTCACAGTCACAGCATGCCTGCTGTTTGCCATGCATGTTACTGTCGAGTTTGTCTTGACCACGCTCATCCTACAGTTCTTGTGCCACACCGCCAAGGAAGGGGATGGCAAGCATTTTTTCCTTGTGAAAGTTCTCAAACTTAAAGGACTTAACTGCAAATTTATTTCATTGACTTTAACACTTTTTGTTGTTTTTAACATATAAATACAAGACAATTAAATAAATCAGAGAAGAAATATTGCAAAGACAAATCAGCACTCACAGAAGTGTATTACATTATTATGATTAGTCTGGGATACAACATTCACTTGCAAGATATGCAAGGGAACTTAAGTGAAAGACCTCACTTAAGGGTTTTGAAATGTTCCTTATGACGACATACTTGAAGCACTGCTCAAGTAGCTGTAGGTGGGAAGCAAGGGAGGTTCTCTGTAAGTGGAGCAATCAGGGTTTGATACATATGGAAACAACAGCATTGCAGGCTAGTCACCATTCCTGGTAGCTGCTCCCCCTCGTCTTGTCACTATACACTCTTCAAGAGGTGACACCACTTAGAAATAATGTAACTCTGGCAGGTCCAGAACAGACCAGACCCAACATCCAATCTTTAAAGTTACCCTTTAAAGACAACAATGCTATTTCCTTGTAACGTCTCTTTTAAAGGGTAATCCTACTCTACTCTCCCTTTTAGACAGGCTCTAGCGATCTGAGAAATGGCAGTGGCTGTATTCTCCTCCACAGTCACAATTTTCCCGAATGTGGTCTTGATTACAGTCCCACCCTTCTCTGAGGCCAAGGTATTAAGTTAGACATCTTGGAGCTGATCCCATACCCTGATGATTAGAGATGAAGTCAAGCGACGGTATCGGTACTGAATGCCATGTACAGCTGTGCAGGTTGTGTCCTGCACAAAGTGTACTGAAGAGGGTGAGTGGAACTAAAATATGACCCCGCTCTATTCGTCAGCATATGAGCCCACAAGGCTGTGTCTGCCCAAGGGGGCACCTTTTCCTGGTCACCTTTTTAGTCAAAGGCACTGTATGAGCTCATTGTCGCACTGTCTGCTTACATGTTTCTAAACTGGCTGTCATCATTATTTCTTAATTTCAGTGAATTTCTGTGCTTCACATCCCATATAATCTCCAAAAGGAGTTTCAAAATTCACTGAACGAGCAAGCATTTTCTGAATTATCACATTAGACACAACAACACAACCACAATTCTACAAAGAAATCAATTTACACAATAGAAAATAAATACAAACAATGTAGAAGTAAGGTTTTTGACATGTGGGTCACTAGAATTTAGCTTATATACAACAAAGGCATGCACAACTAAACTCACCAACAGGCTGAAGTCAACAGTTGCTTTACATGTTATCAAAGATAACCGCCTTAAAAGGTGGTGGGAAATGAACTGCTTTTATTTACTTATTTTTTAGTCTTAGTGTATTGTTTAAAAACCAATCTTCTTTTGAAATGAAGAAGAAACCAAATAGCAAATGTCTTAAAAACCATGGTAAAATGTCTTGGTTTCCTCTTCCGATAGTAACCATTGCCTTCAATTAGCTTATGCTCCTCCAGAGGTTGCTGAGTATAAAATTAGTTGATTTTCATACATCTCACATTGTGTAAAAGGTAAAACTGGACATTTTCACACTGTCAAGCATCATGCTTTGATTTTAGAAAAAGGAATCACATTTGCTCAATAAAGTGTAAACTTCCGCGCTTTGAAGTCCTTCTGAGAGCAACACGGCTTTTACCATTGCAGGCATCTTCTTTTTCATTAAACATGTGCTGTTTTCCAGTAAAGTCATGAAGACACACATCCCCATTCTGAACACTGTAAGAAACACCATTCTTCTCCGTCGAAGCATTCCCTATGTAAGGAAAGGCAAATGGGTGTCATGAAGTATCCCTGGGAAGTATTTAAACACACAAAAACATAAATATCACTTTATTGTTATGTATGCACAAAGTATCTATCTTTAAAAAGATTTATGATATATTGCCATATTTTGTTTACTTTTCATTTCTTCTCAAGAACACTCAAAATAAGCAAATCCTATTAGAAACTCATTCAGAAGTCAGTTTTCTATGGCAGTTTTTTTAATGAAGTGATCAAAATATGAAGCAAAGCAGTATATTTCATTTTAAAGGGCCCATTTCCCAACTCCAGTTGAACATTTATTGACTTCAAGTAGTAGCATAGATACAGTACAACCTAAACTAATATTCTAGTCTCCTCAGAAAAAATCAACAGTGATCCCCATAATCCCCTTACAAGGCTATTGGCTCCCTAAGGTGCTATAAAATAAAACTTTCTACCAGAGGAACTAGCGCCACCTCTGCAGCAACCATGGCAAGAAGACATCATCTCTTGCAGGCCAAACCAACCCTCTGACAATCAGGACAGGACTGATTCCCAAGAGGAAACCACCAATTCCAACCCAAGGTCCCATGCCAGGGAGCAGCCGGACATTCTAGAGCGACTTCATTTGGACTTGCACCTTCCCCACCCTGAGCAGTCCCTGGTGGTGGGTGTGGGTATGGGTGGCCCTTGTGCTGTGGAAAGATGACACAGAAAGCCGAATATGAGCCCATTTGTTTGTTAATGCTAGGACTGTAATGATGATAATAACAGTGCTAAGAACTTTCTAAGTATCATCTCACTTATAACTCTACAGGCTGGGATATTATCCCCATTTCAGAAACCGAGTCAAATTAAGTCCTTTGTCGAAGGTCACATGGCTCAGAAGTGATGGAATCAACATGTGATGCTGTGTCCAAACTGTGAGCCTATGACCCCTTGTACCGGCCGAGTGAAATGGTTGCTGGTATCCAAGCTCCTGAGGCAGCTCATGGTGAAATGTGCGATATTCATACAAAGTAAGTGATGGATGTTGGTTAACCTAAGCTCAGTTAGGCAGCTGTCCTGATTAGGCATTTTGGCTTGAGGATATTTTGGTGTAGGAACAAGTAGATCTGGCATAATAAACCCTTAAACTTCTAGATGCTTTTTTTGAAATTGCCTATCCCTCCGTCATTTATCCCAGATCCTGGTGTGGACTGAGGAGTCAAGGATGTCTAGCAGACATACATGTTACGTGGTATAAACAATTGGCCATTGTGATGACCAAAATTCACCCCCACCCTCACTATTAGATATCAAAAATAGTTCTGTCAAATCAGCCATATCTGCAGCTGTATAAAATATACTGCTTCCATCAAATTTGATTCCCCATTGAAAGACTGTTTACTGAGAGCTGAGCAAGTGAGGCTTTATCTCTGAGCTCTTTCTGAATATGGAAAAATCTGCTCTTAAGAACCTGGATGCTTCTATGAAAGCCATGGTTTCCTGATAAACTATGATTCTTGGTGCCTCACCTCATGCCTCTGACTGCTCTGCTTTAAGCATACTTCTTCACACCTACTTTACCAGTTTTGACTGCCGTTGCCACTACTCTGTTAACCTACCTTGACTCATTCTTGATAACAGTTGTTTGGCATAGAAACCAGGGTTTTCCCCTGGTATCTACAGTAACAAGCCTGTGACAGCTGTTTCTGTCTTCTGTAGCAATGGCACACAATGAAGCGGGGAAGAGACTTTATCCCCATGGGTCATTTTGTCATGTCTGAAGATATATTTGGTTGTTAAATTAGTGATGAGTGGGTTGATGCTATTGGGATCTGGTTGGTGAAGACTAGGGATGGTGCTAATCAGCCCCAAATGCTCAGCACCCCCACAACAAAGAATTATTTAGCCACAAATTTCTATTGAGCTGAGGTTGGGAAACCCTGATTTGGAGGCATCTCATTTTATTTTAGAAGTCTATACAAATAGCAGGGCTTCCTATCTTTGGGAGGGCGGGAAACTATTTGGTAGGCGTTATGAACCGTCTAACAAATTTATTTGAATTTGTTATAAAAGTAACTAATGTCCTAAAATTCTCCAGGGAAGGAAGATATAATCTCCAGCAGAATTTTAAGTTTTTATAAATATGTGAAGTATTTAGTAAGAAGCCAACAAAGATAGAAATGGTTAAGCTTTTATGAGTAACAAGCAGGCCAGTCTTAAAAAAGAAAGAAAATATAACGGAAGGTTTAGCTAGAAATGTCAGAATTAATGAGCGAAGGAGGTGCAGCAGCAATAATCTGTTCATATATTGATGACATAAATGGCCACCAGTGCTGATCTTGCAGTATTTGCTATCTTCGGGGGGATTTGGGCACTATCACAAGGCAGCCACACCATGGAAAACATGGAAAGTAAAAAATAGGGAGTTCTAAAGTGTTGAAGAGTTGTATGATTTAGATGTACTAAAAACTGATATAGTCTTAGCAACTGTTTTAGGTGCTGCTTACACATAAATAGGGACTTGCAACATTAAAACTTTTAGGTCATCATTAATCCCCATTATGAAAAACTAAATCTTTAAAAAAAAAAAGCTGTTCTGATATTTGCTCTATAATGAATAAAGTTGTATCCCTAAAACTTATATATAAGTGAACCATATTTTGATCCACAAGTCATCTATGTAATTGTTCACTTTACTTAGCAAAAATGCTGCTAAAGGATAAAAGTACTTTAATAAAGTAAACACTAGCTTGAGAAATACTGTAGTGAGATGTACATACCATTCCCGCTCGTGAGTCCTGAGCACTCATTATTCACTAGCAGCGTGGTGGAGTGGGTGGAGTTACTGTTTGACTGTAAGGAATTTGAAGAGCTGGACACTCCTTGGTTTACAGTCTGCTTCTTTAAGCCATTAGTAGCAGTTTTACTCCAGTCTATAGCAGAATAAGCATTACAGAAAAACAGGACAGTACGGTGAAGCTCAAATGCAGGAGATGATCACCAGTGTACCTGCTCTAGCAAATCCGCTCAGTCCAGCACCCACATGGGAGTCACACATTTCACAAGCTGGTAGGATAAAACGTATTTTTACCTTAGAGTATCTACATTTGTGCTTTAGATGTCTGCCTTGTTAAAAGTAGCCTATATCCCTTTGGAACTAAAGCCCAAGCTAACTTGATTATGCCTGTAAAGATCTACTGGGTTCGGCAGTACTTTCAGAGCCAAGGACTGTCTTAGGAACACCAGTTGATGGTGTTGTGAAGATCAATGGTTCTTAAATTCGTGCAAACGATTGAACTGTATGTACTGTATTTTCTAAGTAGAGATTTTATGCAACCAGGTCTTTGCAATACTGCAGACATGTTCATGGATGGTATTCCTGCAAAAGGAATTTAGTTTTCCAAACAGCACTGTATTTTCCTTATTTTCTTAAAAATAATCCATATGCTCTACAACACAGCAGGGCATACATGAAAGTAACTTCAAAGTAAGCAAATGTATGCTATAGCCAAATTAACCAGGCATACACTCAGGCTTATGTGCCATGTCCAGTACACTAACAAATTAAGCAACTGACAGCCAGGACCTATAGAGAAAAGGTTGATCCACAACTTTAAAAGACATGAAGATAAATACTAAAATTACTTTGGGTAAATAGAAAATATGAGCTCAAAAAAGGAAATAAAATCTAAAAATTTCACTGTTGCTCCATTCAAAAAGCACCCAACCCATTACTTTTATTGCTCTCTTAAGTTCTCAGATATGAAGAACTACTTTTTTGTATAGGGTTTCCCCCATCATATTCACAATCTGTATTTTTTGTTGAGGAGGTCCCCTTCATTGATTTCCAGATCCAGTAACCCTTTGACATTGATTGCATTAAATTTTATCCACTCTTTCCCTCAAGATTTAAGAGAAGGAGAAAAAGGTAAATCTTTACCAGAATTTTCAGCCAGCCGTAACTTTCCACAACAAAGATACCGCCTCCATTGTTTTCTGACATTCTCTTTTGCTACACAGTAAAAGATGAATATGAAAAATCCTATGGGGGGGGGAAAAAAACCCATAACACAATGAATTCCAAACTAAGACCTGCATGTCATGAACTTACTTTGCACAAAAGATAAGATCTTTGGCATCTATAGGCAAAGTGAAATTTTGCAAATTGAAAAGAAAGTTGAAAGTTCTCAGAGAGTTTGCTATGGAAGGGCATCCTGGGAGTACCCTCTTTGTAAAATAAAAACACTCATCAAATGAATGGTAACTCCATATTTCCACAATTAAACTCATCCTCTCCCCTCTCACATGTAGTCTTTGGCCTTCACTGCTTTGGAAGTATAAGCCCTCAACCCAGGATGCCCCTCCATACTTATAATCTGCTCCCAAGTTCTGGCAAATGCTCTCTCCTGCATCTGTCTCACATCCTTCCTGCCTCTTCTCCAGCTCACAGATATATCCCTTGTCTGGCCTTCACCCTCCCATCCAAGCCCAGGCACTACATTGATTTCCTTCCAGCTTCCCTCCCCACCTGCTCAAGGAAATTCTCCACTGGCCGCAAGGCCACAAAGAGATCAACACTACACACCTGAAATGGCCCTCAGGTTCCACCTCCCATCCACCTCGGTCCCCACGTTATCCATCACAGGGCTTCATACAAGGCTCCATTACTGCTACACCTTACAGTTTTTGCCAGTCAATAGTTCCTGAATGAATGAATAAGTTCTGAGGTCTTCCTCTCCCTAACTCCAGACTACATACTGTAAAGTCTTCATTTTCAAATACCTGGTTTGTTCCTATAGGTATAGCATGCACTGTAAAGACTGACTGCTTGAAATCTGCACACCTATGTTTGCTTGTCACCCTGGGCAGCCACCCTAGGTCGGATTAAGGGAGAAACTTAATGTATGAACAAAATGGGCACCCAAGTCTGGGATCTGAACCCATATACCTGTCTCATTTCATCAATCCAAAGGCTCACAAGGCATTAGCTCTCTTTTGTAAACATCACAATGCTTTCCATCTATCCATACATGTTTTAATCAAAAGACACGGGAGTAGGAAGAAGAAAAAGAGGCATGTTCATTTTCCACCTTAAATACATGAGGGTAGGTATCCTGCTTTCATGGTTATGACTAATGTGATTTGGCACATGTATTTTTTATCTTAAAATTCTCAGCATATAAAACTTCTATCTACTTCTGTCTACTATTAGGTAGGGCAGGACCTACACCCATTCACAAACTGATACATTGTAGGTAAAAAAATAGAAACTGGATGTAACTAACAAGCATATTAACTGACTTCCTCCAAGTAATTAAGAACCAATAGCCAAGCTGGGCATTTGGATTCAATCTCAGATTGAGATTTCCTTGAAACCCAGTAAATGATCCCTTGCCTGACAGAATTACAGGACTTGTGGGCCCTAACAGCAACAGGAAAAGATGAAAACAAGCAGATGAAAATGCAATTAAAAGACATCCCAACAGAGGATTTGGAATAAAAAAGGCCAAGGGACATAAATTATTGATATTGTAATGTAAACCTATTTGCTTGCTCAGTTTTAGTGTCAAAGCACTTCCATTAAAAATTAATCACCACTGACAAGTCTTTTATACCACTGATCTAAATGAATTAGTAAATTCTAAAGAGGGTTCAGAAACGACTGCAGCTGGGCTTCATTAACAAACAGGAAGCTCCCAAGTAGACACACACACAGTCCGTCCCTTCCCTGCTGTGTGTCCCAGAAGAGCAACTTGTCAGGATTAGTCACCAGTTAAGGCGCAGCCACCTGGGCCTGTCTGCTGACTCGCATTGTCTTCACATCACACACAGTCCTAGGAGGTCGGAGCGTGAGCCCTCACACTGCCACAGTGCCTAGGCGCGCTTTTCTGCAGCATGCTCTACTTCCATGTAACTTTTTTTATTTTAAAGTAAGGAACAAATTGAATAAGAGAAATTGGCTCTCCCAGAAAGCGTTCCTGGCAGGTTCCCTTCAGTGTTCTCTCCAAGAAGATAATAATGGAAAAGGAGGGAAAAGTACAAGTTCTTGAATTTAGTGAAAGCCTTTTTCCCAAGGATCTCAAAGCACCTTTTCTTAGAGATGGGGCTGTTTTTCAGTGAATATGTCTTAAGCTACAGAATGGTCTACTTTGTGGATACTCTAACTTTTAGTAGTGATATTTTTAAGTTCAACTGGGATCATTCAGGGAATATTTAACGCTGCAAAGCTTACCTTGTAAGGTATTAAATATGGCAAAGAGATACATAAAGGTGACATTAACTGGTCCCCAGGCAAAGAAGGCAAAGCCCCAGGTGATTCCCAGTAAAAACGTAAGGCCAGCAACGCTCCTGAGGTCTTGAATACTGGTTTTACGCTGGGCTCCCAGTTGCTTCTTCTTTTTAATTCGACAGAGCTGAACCAGGACCACGATGAACATGCTGACGTTCAGCAAAAATATCACACAGAAATATCCCACAACCGTAATATAGAACACAGCATTGCTGTTGATCCAACAACTGGAATGGGGTGGGGGGTGGGGACAGAGAAAAAAATTATAATGCTGAAAAATAATTCAAAATTATACAATGATCTATAATGTTTTACTGAAGATTTCTTACAAATACAAAAGGGGGAAAAAGACAAATACAAAAGGGGGAAAAAAGAGAAAACCTCTGTTTCCCACAATCATTTATAGTTCTAGGAGATGAAAACTTGGGAATTTATTTGGTTACTTTTAACACTTGGTGGTTAAAAGTATTTTAAAATATTTAGGATTTTACCCTCTTTAAATCTTAGTAACTCTCTCCCATGAGTCTTTGCTAATATAATGTAACTTGTATTTCATGTTTTTCAGGGGCTTGTAGAACTATAATATTTTCAAAATACTTCCTCCAAATTTGTTGTACATACTTAAGTGGTAGAGAGCGTTTTCAACTAGGCCGTCTCATGAGATATTTAACAGCAAAGGCTGCTGTGACTGTTAGTGGTTGATTAGGATGACAGCCAGAGTCAATATGCTGATTAGATCCTCCACTTTCCGGAGAACTGTCCCGCCCGCGCCCCCCCCCTCCTCCCGCCGCGGGGTGGGCGCACCTGTCCTTCATCT